AATTGTGTTATTTGGATTTTAATATTGCAATGCTTTGTGCACTGGCAAGCTGCCGAATTTAATATAACTCCACCTTGGCCTTGAACAAACACAAATGGAATTTGACACTAATTATTTTATTATTTTCAGAACCTTCTCTGTCCACTGTGACTCGAATTAGCCAAAGAGGGTGACACTTAAATTTCAGTTTACAGAATCCCTTAAGGAGCTGATTTGAGGAGTCCAGCGCAGTGCAGAGGCTAGAGCAGTGTCCCTCAACCTTGAGTCTCAAGATGTTGTTGGATTACTCCAACCCATCCCAGCCAGTTTGACAAAGGTCAGTGGGGATGGGACTTGTAGGTCAACCTTAGGTTAGAGCATCAGTGAAGTGAAACTCAAAAAAAAATTCTTCGAAATCTGCACTTCTCCAAATTTTGCAATGCAGCTCTCTGTCCCCCCAAAAATGCATTAGTACGTCAACCCCAAAGTGTGCACAACAATGCACATGTTGATGAAAACAGCGTAGAGAAATGCATGATAATAGAGGAAATTGCGTGCAAAAATGTGTATATTAAACAGGGTGTGAATGTGGCCCATGATTATCTTATACTGCCCAATTCCCTGCTTGCCTCCATCCTGCCACAACAGTAACTAACAGGATGTCATATCTAGTAACAAATTGATTGATTGACTGATTGATTGATTGAATATTCTGGAAATGTGCAGCAAGAATATTTTAGAGCACAGAGGCCTCTAATGCAGACCAAGTTGCTTAATATCCAATGAATTATTATCTAAAAAGAAAGAGGGGAAAAAATACTTTCACATGACAGTGGTCTCTGCTAAAATGTTAACAAGTTAGTAGGCCACAACATTGGACTATCAAATACACCACAATGGAAAAGAAACCTGATGTGCCAGGGACACTTAACTAGGACTGTGCCTAGAAATCCCATTTTACTTCCACAGTCTCTCCAACTGCAAACAGAAGTGCCCTCAATAAACCAACAAACAAAAGGTATGCATGCAAATAAACATATAAACTTATTTTTGCCTAACGTAATGATTTCAGAATCTGTGTCGACAAGCCTTTTCATTTGAGATTCAACTTAATTTGAGATGAAAGAAAACTTTGGAAGCTTTGCTAATAGGGTTCAAAACTTTTTAAAAAAAAAATCAGTGCTAATGTCAATTCCCATGAAATATAAAGTTCTTCTGTACAATTATGGCGCTGCTCAGAAAAATCGGTTTTTTCCCAGGGTCTGTTGTGCTGAAGATTTGGAAGAGTAATAAATGACAGGGTGCTTTAAAATGTTCCCTGTTTAGCAATGGTTAATCTGGGAGGACTATTGCTAGGTAAGTAAATTGTGTTTCTAGTCTAGCATTAAAGGCTGATTCAAATGGTCAAGTAGCAATCAGGAAGCAAATTACCATCAGCTTGGATTCCGTTAGGTTCACATCAATCTTTGTAAAATGTGTAGGTCTGTTTTTTATTCCTCTGATTAAACTTGCTGTCTGTTTCCAGAACAAAAGTTTGTGGTGTTGTTAAAACATAGATACTGAATGAGGAACCAGGGGGCGGAGGAAGGAGGGTGTGCTGGGGGTGGTTCGCCCCGGGTGTCACCACTGAGGGGGCGACAAAATGCCGGGCGGTACTCATCGTGGGGCCCACAGCGCACCCAAGCCATGTGTCTCTCCTGGGAGAGATGTGGTAGCTTGGGCTGCCCAAATGGTCCGCCCACTGCCTCCCCCCAGCTGTAGGGCAGCTGAGTGGAAGGAGGCAGACAGACTCTGGAGGCCCCATGGTGCGCCCCACCACTATGGGCAGCGCGGCCCACCCCTTAGCACGTTCCCCAGGTGCCTGAGCAGCTTCTTCCGCCGCTGTGAGGAACTGCACATAGCAGAAATGTGTAACACTGGTCTGTAACATATATGGTCCTAAATTCAATCCCTGGCAACTCTAGTTAATAAAGGATCAGGTGGCAGGTAATGCCCCCTCTTCCTGAGACTACAAAGGACTGCTGCCAGTCGGAATAGACAATATAGGATTAGAATGACAAGTGGCTGTCCCCAAAGACAATACAGGTAGCTGATTGTTCCAGCGTTGTTCCATCTAGCTCAGTGGTTCTCAACCCGTGGGTCCCCAGATGTTGTTGGACTACAACTCCCATCATCCCTGACCACCGGTCATGCTGGCTAGGAATGATGGGAGTTGTAGTCCAACAACATCTGGAGACCTACAGATTGAGAACCACTGATAGTCTCCCAGGTGTCTTTCTCAGACCTGCCTGGAGATGCCAGGGGTTTTAACTGAAATCTTCTACATGCAGATCTTGTGTTCTACTACAGAGTTATGGCCCTTTACCTCTATAAAGGCATCTTCAGATGCAGATATTTTACTCTGAAGAAATGTGTAAGCAGGATGTTATGCCCTTCCTATCTTCTCAAGATGGTGCAACTTCACATGGCAATTCAAACCACAGATTCCAAAGGGAAAATATCCACCTTTCTACCACCCTAGATTGTCCATGCAACATTAAGAAGGGCATCTGCTAGATCAGGTCAGCAGCCTATTTATTTCAGACGACAGACGACCCATGGGAAGCCTGCAAACTGGACCTGAGCACAACACCAAATTTAGAACCGAGTCCTGCCATGCTGTTTTAGCTGTCCCTAAGGTTGCTGCATTATATCAGCCGGTCAGCGTAATTGCAGGCAAAATAGGCTGGCATGAATGTGATGTGGAGAAGCTTGGGAGGTTGGGGAAGTGTTGCATGCAATAGAGGAAATCACATAATTCACCAGGATGGCACAATGCAATTTGGGAATAATCACCATAGAACGTTTTTTGCGAGGGTAAAAGTGTAAATTGCTAATAGATCAATAAGTAATTTCTTGCAAGAGGAACTATTCCATCCTCGGCAAACGAAGTAGCAAGGTTGTTAAATCAAACTCAGACTTAATATATTAACAAAGTTGAGATTAATCTAAACTGCTAAAATCCCCGGCTGCCCTAGTTAAGTTTATCTCAACTGATCATTTATTTATGATGCCATAAAAATCCAGACACTTTCCATGGTGATTGCTACTTATTTGCTCTAAGGCAACTTGAAATTGCCCAGCTAGACTTTCCAGGGTGACAACTGTGTTTTCTGCTCAAAATTTATCACTGCACAGTAATGGCGAGATCAGTCGGCTCTCATCAGGATTAACAATGCACCCGGCCAAATGCGATCATTACCATTCCTCTGACAGATTCCTTTGCAAATCTGCTGGGACTAATATATCCTCCCCTGACGTTCATATAAATTGAACTGCAATATGTTACTATCATTGATAACAATGATGATGGTTACCTCTCAAAATGGATGATACGCATCCTGGATTATGGATGGTTTCCCCCCACAGATCTATTTTGGACTGGACTCAGACTGTATTATGCACTAATAGCAGAATGCATTACAACAGCAAGAACATGGCTGACCATCATTAGGCTACCCCTGTCCAGAAATGGCCATACAGAAATGGCTAGAGGTGGCACACCCTCTGAAGCCAGGCATAGGTATCCATAGCCACTGAGATCGACAACTTATGACACCCACGTGCCTGCTCATTCAAGGGAAATGTGACTCCTCCCCAGTCCAAAGAGGTAATTTTGTCTGCTCCCATATATGCAAACCAGTCACCTAGAGAACCTCCATCTTGTCTGGATTCAGCTTCAGTTCAGTGGCCAACATCTAGCCCATTATCACATCCAGACAATGATTCAGTACCTGCACCGCCTCACCTGGTACTGATGCTACACAGCGATACAGCTGGTGGCCATCAGCATATGGATGGAATCTCTACTCAGATCTCCTGATGACAACTCCCAGTGGCTTCATATAGATGTTAAACAGCAAAGGTGACAAGACTGAGCTGTACAGAAAACCATGGGATAATTCCCACGGGGGCCAAACAACAGTCACTCAATGCCTTTGGATACAGGAGCAAAACTGCAGCAAGGCAGTGCCCCCCATCTCCCAGCAGTGGTCCAGAAGTGGAGAAAAGTATCAAAAGTTGCCAAATCTAGAGCCCACCCGACCCTCCCCCAGCACAGGTCATCAACCAGGGCAATTTCAGTCCCCAAATCAAGCCTGAAGCTACATTGAAATTCCATCCAAGCACCTTCTCAGGCAGGTTGGCCCCAAGTTGAATATTAGCGACTGGGTAACAGTTGTGGAACACTTTGTGGTCCAGGAATGTCCTCTTAATGAAGGCACATGCTACCGCCTCCTTCAGGTCTGCTGGTACAGCCCCCTTCCACAGTGAGGCAATAATAAATCCCTTTTTAGTGTGGATGTGATATGTTCACCACAGATCAGAGCTTTAGTTCCTCTTAATGTTGTCTAGGATGCATCACACATGCATGGAAACACTTGCAACCTCGGGGCAGTCTTTGGCATTTAAGAGTTCAGGGAAATGAATCCAGTTACTTTACATTATTTTTCAGATTGGATTTGGAAGGAGGATCCCGCCTGTCAAAAGCTGTGAGGCTTTCAGTAAGAAAAAAAAATACATATGCACCAAGTGACTGGAATATTCTAAGCAGGCCTGAATCTTAATTACAGCTCCATCCTCACAACCAAGTATATAACTCGTCAAGTTATTCAGGTGTCAAAAATCACTGCAGTAGCCAAAAGGGAAGCCCCGGTTTTTCCAAAGTGATTCAGAACCCAATCTGCAGCCTTGTTAAATCCCACTGAAGTCAGCGGGGCTAAAATGGTTTTAAATCCTTCATTTTGCTCTTAACCAATAGGATTAGTCTCTCAATGCCAAAATCTCTTCCAAAAATTGGATTGAAATGTATAAATCACTTAACCGCATTTGGAAAAAAGAAAAGAAAAGAAACAACCCAAAGAACATTACTCAATGGCAGGAAATCAATTTCAGGAAAGGATAGCATTGTACTAGCCATAGCAGAAGCTGGAATCGAAACACACAGATAAATAGCAACATTGCATTTTGCTGATGGTACTTACGATGTGTAGCTCTAGATAATCTCCGAGCCCAGTAGAGCTATCCACTCGCACCAAGACGGCTTCTTTCTGAACTGTGCTGAACCCTATCGCCAGTCTATCTGCTCGCGTGCTGGGCCGATCATTGGGAGGCCACGTATACGTGATCTGTCCACCCCCTTTGCTAAATATGTATGTCGTTCCCGCTGTAAGAGAGAGAAAGAAAAAATATTAGGTAGGTGTTTTGGACTTAAACTTTTCTTTCTTTAATGTATGTTCTGTAAGAAAATTAGGTTTAAGAAATATTTCAGGAATTATAGTCTTGGAACACTGACTCTCTGACAAACACCCTCAAATCTTGGTCTCCTTTGTTGTCCTGTCAGGGATGGTCTCACCTTAGACATACAACACAATCTTAACCATGTCTCATCAGCAGCAAGTCCTACTGAGTTCAACAGGGGCTTACCCTCAAGTTAAGTGTGGTTAGGATTGTAACCTTAACTGCTCAACACACAAAGCCATACTCCTAGCTCCTGAGGAACCACTGGCCTTCCAGACATTGGGACTCCAACTCCCATCAGCTCCTCCTAGCATGGTCAACTGTCAGGGATGAACTGTCAGACAGCTGTAGCTCAAAAACATCTGGAGGGTCACAATTTTCCTCTCTGATTTGAAGCTCACAGGCCATTTTGTTTATTGTGCATGTGTGTTTACATGTTTTCTGTTTCTGTGAAATACATTAAATCTGTAACATATAATAATTTGATCTGCAATGGCTCACCCAGTCATTTAACCCACCACTTAATGCAGTAGATTTGCATGCGCGACTCAGCCTTTGGTGTTTATCAGCTGAATGTGTGAAATTACTCCACTGAAACCCATTTAAAAAATAAATAAAAATGTTGTGAGTTCCTGTTCTGTCAGCGGCATTTAATGAATGATGGAATACATGTCCAAGCCATCACTGCGCTGAGCCATGGTCCACCATGCTTGGGTGATCCAAGCCTTTAAGTAAGGGATAGCCAATATGATGCCATGCAAATGTTGTTACTCTGAAGATGCTGAGCATTGGACCTGGGAACTTTCTGCATACAAAGCAGATAATCTGCCACTGAGCCACAGCCCAAGAAGACATCACAACCCTGGGCCCGTGTGACATTTGTTTGTCTGTTTATTGCATTTATGTTCTGCTTTTTCCTCCAAGTAGCTCAAGGTGGTCCACAGGGTTCTCTCCCTCCTCCTTTAACCCCCCCCCACAAAAAAAACAACATTGTGAGGTAGGTTAGGCTGAGAGGCAGTGACTGGCCCAAGGTCACCCAGTGAGCTTTATGGCTGAGTGGGGATTTGAATTCTGGTTTCCCAGGTCCTTGTCCAACACACTACATTAGCTCTTGCTATGGTGTTCACTATGTCAAAAATAACCCTAACCATGTATTGTGGCCACATAGTTTCCTGGAACCCAATAGCTAGCTGCTTTCTACCAGGTCTGCCTTTTTGCCTGTCTAATCCAACTGTGTTGACTCAGGATGGTAGTGCTTCCCTGGCAGAGTCTGTTGCCAATCACCTGATCCTTCCGACAGCTTCAACAGGGACTGAAGCTGGGATTTCCTGCATGAAAGTACGTGCTCCACTACTGAGCTAGGTATTTGCTCTCCAAAGCAAAAGGAGGATTTCTTTTTAAGCTGCCCTTGGTCCATTTTCTACGGCTGGTAGGCTAATATAAGCTTTGTGGGTCCCAAGTTGTTGCCAAGGCCTGTGTCTTGTTTAGGCAACAGCAAGTACATGGAGAGCATTGGGGGAGGATGCAGAAAGAGAGATTTTCCCCTTTTCTAAAATGCAACTTGCAATATATAAATACAAACAATGATTTTATGGGGTTGACCAGTTTGCAGTGGACAAAATAATGAATGGAACAACAACAACTTGCTTCTATAGTCCTGTGATTGCAACCACTCTGTTCAAAGTGTTGGTGCTGACCTTTAAAGCCCTAAACGGCCTCGGTCCAGTATACCTGAAGAAGCATCTCCACCCCTACCGTTCCGCCAGGACACTGAGGTCCAGCGCCGAGGGCCTTCTGGCGGTTCCCTCACAGCGAGAAGCCAAGTTACAGGGAACCAGGCAGAGGGCCCTCTCGGTAGTGGCACCCACCCTGTGGAACGCCCTCCCACCAGATGTCAAGGAGAAGAACAGCTGGACTTTTAGAAGACATCTGAAGGCAGCCCTGTTTAGGGAAGCTTTTAATGTTTATCAGACCACTGTATTTTAATACTTTGTTGGAAGCCGCCCAGAGTGGCTGGGGAAATCCAGCCAGATGGGCGGGGTATAAATATTATTATTATTATTATTATTATTATTATTATTATTATTATTATAAAAACCTATGAAAGATGCCACTGATTTGTGGAAGACACTGCACAGTTAACAAGCTTTTGTTGTTGTTGTTATGGAGATGTGACTTCTGAACAGAGACCTTCCCTGTGTATTCATTGGGTTTCACATCACTAAATAAAACCTTTTTGGGGTTTATGAATGAGCTAACAAACCCAGCCAACAATCCAGGTCAAATGGATTGCATCTTCAGGTGGTCTGCATCTTCTTCCCAGAACAAGGATTTTCTCACCACACATCTCAAGCAATGCATGGTGAAGCTACATAACTCATTGGTGATGCCTACCAACTTGGATAGCTTTTAAAAAGGATTCAACATATTTACAGAGGAGAGGGCTATTGATGACTACTGACCATGGTGGCTAGGCTGTGCCTCCACAGCTGGAGGCTGCAATGCTTCTGAATGCCAGGTGCCAGAAAGCACAGGAAGTCAAAGCACTCTTGTGATTGATTCCTTTTTGCTGGTTTCCCACAGGCATCTGGTTGGCCGCCACGAGAACAGGATTCTGGACTATTGGCCTGATGCAGCTGGCTTGTCTTGTGTCTTTAAGAGCAAAATAGCATCTCTTTGCAGTTGCATTAAGCAGGCTGCTGGGTTTAAACCTCAAGATTCTGTTGAGTGGGAATGAAAGATCTCCATCTCCATAGTCTGGTTTGTTCACAAGTTTTTGGATGGTTGGTTTTGTTTTGTTTTAAAAAAACATGGCTAGAGTTTCAGTGCTCATACTTGGAAAATTGTATCTGAGAAGCAAAACCTAGCCTATGAAAACTCATTCTACCCATATTAAGCCAACCAAAAACCAAAGAAAGCAGCCAGGGCACTCCCAGCAGGGTCGATTGGAGCAGTGAAGTTGGCATAGCTTTTGAAGCCTTGCTGACTCTTGCTGGTCAAGGTGGAATGTGGTGAGGTGATTTCTCATCCATCTTTACTGCAGGCACAGCCAGGGTGGGGTGGGGTGGCAGACAGGTCTTTGGATCCCACTGATTCAAAGCCTCCAGCATACTGCCCTGAAAAGTCCCATTTGGGGGGCTTCCCACTGGCTACTGCAGGTGGGAGGATGATCGGCTGTAGATTACTACAAGCTTTGGCTGGGGGTTGAGTCTCTGCATGCCCCCCCCCCCCGGCATCAGCTGTGCTCACTTTACCCACCAGGACCAGCAGAGAGGTAACTTTGCTGCATCCTAACGCCACCAGCCCAGCTGGGAGTAGGCCCCTGTGAATTCATTAGGATTTATTTATGAGTACATACTATTAGGGTTGCAGCCTTAATCTTTAAGGTGGTGCAAGACTCCTGCTTTTATCATACTTCATGTTTTCAACAGGATATTTTAGGTAGGATTTATTTTTAAAATCTTATTGGCCTCATTTATTTTATTTATTTATTTATTTATTTATACTAGGAAACTTAAATGTTGTAAAATATATGTGGTTTTTTTAGAAGAAGAAGCAGCAGCAACTTTTTGGAGAAACCAGTTTTAAAGATCATCAAAAGTTTTGAAGTGAACCGCACATTAAAATTAAAACACACATGCCAGAAGACTGTCCAGTGCTCATTAACCGGAGGCTGAGTTATTACTGATTTAACTGGTATTTTGTTTGACAAATGGGAATAATGACAAATGGCTGGTGTTACAGTGTGCTTGGTTGCCTTATTATGCCTGAAATTATTATCATTTCCGCTTTTTAATTACTTGTCTTGCTTTACAGTTGTGCTGCTGGATCTATCAGACTTGCGATTATAAATTGTTCTAATTGTGCATTGCCCAGGCAAGCCTGCTTATGCACCAACTAATGGATGCAATGAATGAATGAACGAATGCAGATGCACTACCATGTTGGGATTGGATATCAAAGCTGGCTAGCAGAAACGACTGTCGGCTACCAAGTCCTGCTGCCACAGTTAGTGGAACCATGATTCCAGCATTGTCTACTTATGAACTGGACCTCAAATATCTTCCTCGATCCCAAGTCTGTTTCCTGAGATCCTTCAAGACAAAAGGATGCACTCCAGCCCTGAGATAGAAACATAATAAGGGCCTGTTGCATCATACCATCTGGTCCACCAACCCAGTTCTCACAGATGCCTATGGGAAGCCTACAAACAGGGCTCAATAAAAAAGCCCTATCCAAGCCTGTGGTTTCTAGCAGAGTGCTTCCAACAGACTTAGACTGGCATGTACAAACTATCAACCTGTCCGTCCACCCATCCTTCTCTCTGCTGTATCTTTTGAATCGGAAAGCCAAGTTTAACATTCATAAACTTTGTTAAAAATCAAGAAATTTTGAATACACATGAAAAGGCTCAGGAGTGCCAACTTGGCCCCGCGACTGTGGGTGCCCAGGGCCATGGGTGCTATGCATGGCCCTGGCACCAAAACTTGTGGGTGCCTGGCCCTTTCATGGGGAATTTTGTGGGTGCTCAGGCACCCAGGGGCCCAGGGAGTTGTCAGGCTGCAGAGGTCATGGGTACTGAAAATATTCTGATTCTTTAAAGAGCATTATTATTAGTAGTAGCAGTAGTGTTTTTTTAAAACAAAAAACATACACAATGACCAAAGCAGGTGAGTGTGGTCTTTAGAATCTCCATCCTAACTCTCCTAGCAGCAGCAAACTATAGTACTGTAGCAAAAAAGTGGGGCTCAGGGGTCTTCAGAATGCTCAAGGGGACCTCAAAGTTTGTGGGTATATATATATATACCGTATTTTTCGCTCTATAAGATGCACCAGACCACAAGACGCACCTAGTTTTTGGAGGAGGAAAACAAGAAAAAAAATATTCTGAATCTCAGAAGCCAGAACAGAAAGAGGGATCGCTGC